GGTAACATGCAGTAATGCATTTCAGAAAAGCTGTTCTCTTGCAAACCAGCTTTAGGTAACAAAGCATTTGTCGGGAGCAAATATACTGGTGTTACTATTCTCTGGCAACTTAGGAACCTAGTATTTAATGTGGCTGTAAGAGTGCCTGCTCTGCTCTTCAATGGGGTGGAAAAAGCAGAGTTGTGATGACAATGAGAGGGGCTCCTTCCATTAACAGAGAGGGGTTTTGGTCAGTGTTAAAAACCTGGGTTAAAATGCCCTGTAAGCAACTGGGTCTCTACCAGAGTCTCAAACCCATCCCAGTGTTCCTGCAGTCGCTGCTCAGACCTTGCAAGTTTCTGTGCGTGTGAGTTGGCCTCTTAGCACTCCTCCTTAGATGGACCAGCCCTTGCCCCATGGTTCAAGTACAGGTAAGCTCAGGTGATGTGTGTTTAATACAGGGAGACATGGTCGGTTACAAGGAGTAGAACTAGAGCTGCATGGGTTACTGTTGGAGCTGATGGCAGTGCAGTCATTGTTCACTTCCCTGCCTAGCTGCATTTCATCCGCTGGTTTTTCCTTTTGTTCACGTGCATCTTATTAATGTCTGGGGCTCTGTGGAAGCAGCCAAGAGTATTTTCAGTTGGATTCTCTCAGATGTATCCACGTGCAGGCGTTTGATTAGAACTGGGGCTCATGCTGGTTTATTGTTGTCGAGTGTGTGTCTGTCTAGTGTTGATGGAGTTTGTCACTCAAGTGCACGTTCGTGGCTGGCAGCTTGTGTCTCCTGCAGGGCACTTGTTCTGGGCAGTGATAATGAGGGGGGCCATCAGTTACAGTGGACAAGATTTCAAATAAGGCTTCAGAGATGAGGAGTAAGCCTGGGCTGTGACAGGGTGTCCCATAAGGAGCCTGGGCACGGTGACGGTCGCTGCACAGACCCTCGTGGGGATGCTGTCCCAGGAGGGAGCTGCCCCGTGCCCACAGTGGGGTTTGGGGTCTGGCACAGGGAAAGGACACAGCAAATGTGAAGAGAAGGTTTGTCAAGGGTATTGTGGTTTAATCAACAATTCTTGGAGGAACACCACCCGTGAATGGTTTGTTGATGTGTCGGGAGTCCGCAGCACTTGGGATCCCACCCCAGCGTTTGTCATCTTTGGTGAGGTGAGGTGCTTCTATGCTTTGGATCCTCTTGGGTGAGCACGAGAGGCCACGTTAACAGAGCATACCCAAGCATTCACTGGCTGTGGCTCAAAAGGAGTGGGGGAAACAACTGCAGTGGGTGATCTCCTTTCTGACTCTCCTGTTCCATTTCTGGCACAGAGCTTTGGAATCTCCTCTGCTGAGCATTGTAAGCTGAATTCAAGTTATAGGATTGAATGTTTTTAAAGAATTTCTAGGTGTGGTATAAGTCACTGTCATGCCCCAGAGCTTTTGGGCACAAGCTGTGGCCTTCTTCCTGAAAAGAGAAGGGAAAAGAGGTGGGTGGGAAGCGTTTAGCACTGTTTTTGCTGGGCTGCAGTTCCTCTTGCTATTTATAAGCCTTTAGCATTGGCAGGATGCACATTTAGATGTGCATATGTCAGCTTTTCTAATGGCAGCAGTTGGGCTGTTGAGAATCCGTGGTGGCTCTTATTGCGTTGTTCTGTTTCTGGTGATGTGGGACTGGAAACAGCAAACGGAGCCACAGAGCCTGATCGTGCTATGTTTGAGCTCTGGGGTGCAGGCTGCTTCCTGGCCATCACCAGCCACTGACAGCTCACTGTGTCCTGGAGGAGCCACTCTTTATCTACAGCATGTGTCAAATGCTTTCAGATGCTTGTGATGAGGGAAGTGGAAACCAAAAGGGGTTTTTACTGCTGTCAGCCTTGTAAATGCAGTTTGTAGCCTGGCATTCTCCTGTGGTGTGTGCTAAATAGCAAAGATACTGGGTTTATTTTCAGGAACACCTTTGGACTGTGGGTCAGCTGATATTCTTAAGAGTTTGTTCATAAAAGGTCCACTTCAGCAGTCATGAAAATGGAAAAGGAGCAGTTCTGTAAGAATGTAGGCTGAGAAAGCAGCAAAATAGTAAAACCCCATGTTCAAATGCTTTCCTGGCAGCACAGAGATGGAGAACAAGAAAGAAATAACAGTCTTAAAAGTATCTTCCTCTGTCATAACTTTGCAGTCGTTATCCCGTGGGTATATTTGATGGCTGTGTTTAGCACAGCAGTCACTTAGACATCTTTCCTTGCCTATTCAGAAGAATTTCCAAGTGGTAAAAAGCAATACTGGGTATTTTCTGACTCCTCAGAAGAGCCCATTATGCCCCGTGCTTCCCTGTGTTGTCTGAAAAAGTCATAAACCAAATTTGACGGTGCTGAGGCGCTGGCACAGGGTGCCCAGAGAAGCTGTGGCTGCCCCATCCCTGGCAGTGTTCAAGGCCAGGTTGGACACAGGGGCTTGGAGCAAGCTGCTCCAGTGGAAGGGGTCCCTGCCCGTGGCAGGAGGCTGGGACTGGGTGAGATTTAAGGTCCCTTCAACACAAATCATTTGATGGTTCTGTGAAACTTAAATATAAATAAATAAATAAAGGGCCCGTTAAACTTCTCTGTGGGAGCTTCCCCGAGCACATTATGCAAGAGGCATCGGAAATGACTTCAGGTTGGTCCTGCTGTAGTACCAGGGGAGACCCTCCCAAGCCAAATCCCTCTCTTTCTGTGATTCTGTTTTACCCAGGAAGTCAGAGGGTGCTGCTGTGTATTCGAGTGTTTCTGTTTTCAAAAATATTTTTATTTCATTGGCAAAACAGAGAACTTTGAATTTCATCATCCTGATTATAGTAATGCGTTGGTTTATAGTCATTGCAATACAAGGACAGCAGCAGCTGCTGTGGCGCTGTATTGTTGCCTTCATCAGCTCATGTTGTCCGAAGCAAATTTCTCCTGGTTATGATAGCAAAAAAGCTGTTTAACCATTACCAATTGGTTCAGTTCATCCTTTTTAAAATCAGCGTTTTGGCCAGAAAGTCTCTTAGTTCAATCACTTGTCATTGGGCTTCCTGAAAGTAAGACAAATCCGTAAGTGACGTGTTGGTGAAGGTCTGACCAAGCTGTGCTGTGGTTGAACCATATATCAAGGGAAGGGACAGGTATGATTGAATGCTGTGTCACAGCACCACACATGGGAAACAAATATTCTGCAAGGAATCTATTGCTGAGGAAACTGAAAGATTGTTAAGCTGTTAAAGGCTTGTTAGCATGTTCTGACAGCAAAGCCCGCAAGCAGTGAGCGTAAAAAGAAAGAGCAAAAAGTCATAATGGCCAATTTTGGGTTTAGATTTGTGGGCCTGGGCACTCTGTGCTTTCTCTGTAAGGACTCTTGCTCCTCTTGCTGGATGTGGTGAGGAAAATTCTTCTGACACCCGTGAGCCTTCACTGCCTCCTTTGAGAGCCACCCCGACTGCAGAAACGTGCTCAGGGCGTTTATCAAGCTACCTTTGGTCAAGCTGCAGAAAAGTCTTAGTAAGGCAGGACTGGGGTTTTATCAAATACCGGTTTCCTTTTGGTGTCTGCCTGGGCTTTGCTGAAGGAGCTGAACTCACAGTGTTTGGGTCATCTGCTGCTGCACCAGAGAGGGTTTATCTGCCCAGGGCTGGGACCTGAGTTGGACACCTTGTGCAGCTCAAGACAAAGGCTTGCCATCATCTCCATGGAGCCTTCCTACTACGTGTTCTAAATGAAACAAACACGCACTGTAGGTGTGAAGATCAGATGAGGCTAATAATCTGTTAATGCTCTTTGGCTTTGCTTATCTTCTGCCAGGTCAATAAAAGCCTGATAGAAAAAAAGTAAATACCAGGCATATTATTAAAAAGAGAAGTTACTTTCAAACAGAGCAATTGTGAGCATAAACAAACAGCAATTTACTCCCAGTAATGTTGGTTTTGTTCCCACAACCAACATTGTTTCTTAGCAAATGATATTTTAAAAGCAAAATGAAGTTGAACACTTTCCTGCCTTCAGCAGCAAAGATACGTTTAATAGCTCTGAATGAATCTGTCAGTTATGGTGAATTTTACCGATGCTGTATTCCTAAAGCACCAAGATCCCTGATAATTAATAAGCTTTGTAAAGCAAACACAGGTCAACATAGGCATGATAAATTGAGCTATTATTGTACATAGGGAAACAATTAATTTGTTGCTCCTTATGGTCTGATGTCCATTAACATGCCCTACTAATAATGCACAACAGACAAGCTGTACTGCAGCGTGCGCAGGGTTTAGGTGATGTGCAGAGCATTCTACTCATCTGTTCAAACACTGACTGAAGGCAGCACTTGTCTGCATCTCCAGCTAGCGAGTGATGAGTTCTCCCTCTGACCGGCCGGGTTAGGGAGCTGTCGGCAGCGTTCCTCGCAAGGAGCTGCATCCTCTTACTGCCAGCACTGGAAACAGTGCAGGAAAACAGCTTGGACTTACTCAGTCCTCCTGCCACGTTACTGCTTTTGAACACATGTTCTGTTAACTCAGTTGGCTGTAGAATACATGCAGAAGCATGGAGTTAGCACTAGAGTCTGAATTCGGTTTTGGTGCCGCTTAACAGGGGCAATGCTTCCAGATGTCAGTGCATATACTGCATAAGATTGTCAGCAGTGCTAATCCCGCTGGGGGTGAGAATAAGATTACTTCATCCTTCCCAACCTCGTTCTAAAATACCTCCAAAGAATGTCTGATTTTTCTCTTTAAAGCCTCTTGGAGAGCAGTAATCTCTGGCTACCACATGCTTATTGCAGCTGATGGCAGCAGCCGAGGCTCTGTGCCTGTCACTGACAAGAGAAAAGAAGAATAAAGCCGTGCTTGGAAATACTGGGGGAATCCCAAGCTGCAGCAGTGGCTGCCTCCGTTGATTTGCTTCTGGTTATGCTGTTCAGAGATCACAGTTGGGTTCTGGTTCCATGCAGTAGCTTCAGAATTTAAAGTTTTCCTAATTAACAGAGCAAAATGTAATGAGCTCACAGTAACAGTGTGCTTCCAGGTTCAAACCCACCCAAACCAACAAAACCAACCCAACCCGCTGGGTGTCGTCTCCCCCTTCTGAACACAATCATCTTAGTTTTGAATCTTTCAGGAGAAAGCTAATTTTAATTAAAGCAAATGGAAGTGAGGAATTTAATTTGACCTCTGCCATGCAGCAGTTCCTATCCTTGCGGAGGCAGCGAAGTGCCAAGCCTTCAGTGCGTGCCTCCATCAGCGTCCTTCATTGCCATTGCAAAATTCTCTTTGTGCTACAGGTAATGCTTTTAATTTAAAAACTTAAATAACTCAACTTTAAACAGAAGTTTCTTTTTTTCTTCTTTGTTGCGAAGAGCTGTGAACAGTCTTTGGTTACCTCTCAAGGTTCCTTTTGTGACAGTTCATCTAAGGAAGCCTGTGATGTGATAGATTTTCTGATTTAATACTTGAGACACAGTAGATGTTTTAATTGTCTTCAGACACATTTTTCTTGCGAGTCTGTGGCAATCTGCAGTCTGCTTTTTAGAAACATTGATTGATGAATTCTGCTGTAATTTAAGCTAAAAGTTAATAAGACAGGCATACACGGATCTGATGCAGGTTATTAGACCTGTAAGGCACTTTAATACATGCCATTTATTATTCAAAGAAGCGCAAGCCAAAAATATTTCATGTGCACTAATAAAAATTCAATATAATTATTTCAGAGAACTTCAGGAAATGTGGACGGTCAGATCAACTGAATTCATTAAAACCATGTCCAGTGACAGGAATGCTGAGTGACCCTCCTGGGGTTCCACTTGGTACCTCCTTTAGCAGGATGCTCTTACTGCCTGGACCTCCCTGCAGCAGCAGCTTCCCACTGTTCCTCCTTGTTGAATTAAATCCATGGCATGGGGTGTTTCACTCTTGTTATCTGCTTCAAAATATCAAATATTGATGGCTCTGCCCAGTGTTTTGCCTCAGTTGCTGTGGTTTTCTGTATCCTGGAGTCCTGGAGATGAGCTCAAATAGCGATAGCTCGGCTACTTTTTCAGATAGTGGGACTTGAAATACAAACTGAATCCTCTGGCTGTCTCATAAAGTTTCAGGGTTTCTATTATTAAAATCTTCCTCTGAAATAATAAATGACTACAGGCTGTCACGGCAGGGGCTAGAAAGGCCAGTGAGCAGAATGGGCTGAGATTTCATCTGAGCATAGTTGAGTTTTATAGATCTATTTATGAGATCCAATACTGTAATGATGTAATTTTACTTGTCTAATAAATGTAGCTGTACAAGCAAAGGATAGCAAACATTTCCATTGTGACCAAAATCCTTTAAACTGCAGCCACTTTGATCTTAGAGCTCATGCTATTTAATAAATGCTGGCTATTCTTCTAACAATCACAATTATTTAAAGGGTTTTCAAAAGGGATAGAGCAAATCAAATAAAACAATTACTGTTGTATCTCATTCTGAAGTTAAGTGTATTTTTTATGTGGGTCTTGTTTAGTGTCTCCTCCCAGTTTTCATCCATTATCACAATAATTGAGTTTGTAGCTGGAATTAAATTTATCAAATTGTGTTATCCTCTTTTGAAATTGGATAGGTATCCTGGCAGTGGGAGCTAGAAGTTAATCTGCTTTGCTAAAGCCTCCAGTGGCACAGCGGCAACAGGATTGAGAAGGCTCAAACATTTTCCTGTCACCCTGGACACGATGTAATTTCTCCTCAATCCCTTGTGCAAATAATGACATTTGAATCGAGCATTAACAGGCTTAATTACTTTAAAATTGTCATTTTAATTTACACTGATATAGTATTGATCATACAAGCAGAGATTAAGCTGTTCACTGGAGCAGATGATGGGGAATTAAACATTAAAGGGTCCTCGTGGGGCTGAGAGGCCGCCCAGAGAGTGCCAGAAGAGGAATGATATTTCTCTGTAATGAACTGGCGGCATGCAGGGACATGAATCTTTGGCCTACTGGAAAAAGGGAAATAATGGGGTTTGGGAAGCATTTGCAGGTTATTCATTCGCTGCCATGCACCAATTCTCCAGTGATTCATCCACCTCACCAACATTTATTTATCTAGCAAATTCAGGAGCTCTGACCTTTCTGCTAAGTACATTTAACATAAGACGGAGGGAAAGATTTCAGGTGTAACTTTTTACAAATATTAGTTATTGTTTCTTACTTCTGACTAATACTAAACAGTTATTTAATCTGCCATACATACTGCACCCATTTGCACAACTCACAATGATCAAATGGACTTCATAAAAGGATCCAAGTATTGTGGGATTAAATGAGGTCTCCCAAAGTCCTTGACCTCATTTAGTTACAGTTGGATTCTCTTCTTTGGTAAACCTGAATTAAAGTTAATTTGAAGCAGCTGACACAAGCTTACCTGGAAGATTGTGCAGCTATAATAGTACCAATGACGAGTAATCCTTGTAAGAGCTGTAACCTAAAAGTGTCACTGCTCTCGTACGGGGTGTGCTTGAGAGCTCCAAGAAGATATATGGAAGAGCTTAAGGCCAAAATTTTCATTTCCGTGCTCTGGATTTGTCTAATAACTCCTCTGAGCTGTGCTCAGGCAACAGGTATCGCCTGGTGATGACTTACTGCTTAAAAATCCAAACTCTAACCTGGATGCTAAATTATACAAAATCAACGTTGTATTTTCATATATAGCAATGAAAGGTTTTTTTTTCCTGTAAGCTTGTTTTCCTTTCTGCCTCATAGTTTAGTTTTGTCCGGGCTATCTGTAAAGAGGAATATAACAAAGCTAGGTACCAGGTAAGCAAGAGTGCTCAGCCATGGCAATGTGAAATAGAGCATCTCCTCTGGAAACTGCCCTTTTCCCATTAAGGAGAAGGTAGGGCCAGATCCCAGCCCACTGACTCCAGGCCTTAAATTCCAGCCTGTTGGTAAATGTTCCTGCAGAAATCCATTGAAGTCGATGGCATCTGTGGGTTTATTGGTATAACTTTCTTAGGATGTCATTTCTCCTGCATGTAACGAAGAGGCCGCTCCTTAAAAGTAGGGAGGATGGTGCAACATGGGAAGATGGATTTTCTTATTACTTGTACTTTTTTCACTTAAAACAGGAAAATGTGTTGAACAAAAATAGAATGTGTTGCTAGGTACAAAAAGGCAGAGCTTTAGGTTCTGAAATACAGAGCAATGATTTCTGTTTGCTTTTTAAGACAGCTTTCTTTGAAAGATAAGGAAAAATGATGCTTCTTTTTATCAGAAAGGATGTTCTGGTTGGGTTTGTGGGGGAGGCTCTGGGGTCTGGAGGCTTTGTTCTCTTGTCCCTGTGATTTACCTGCTGAATTGGGTCTCGTAGGTTTTGGTTAAAAATCTTTCTGTTTGTGATGGTTTTTAATCATCGCATATTTCCTGGGCTCTTCCATGGAGTGGGATGTATTTTCATTTTGCAGCCCTGCTCCTGGGCTGCTCTTTACTTCCAGGTGCCAAAGCAGATGTTGAACTGTGCCAGAGAACACAGGTAAAACAAGCGGCGAGTGCTGAGATGCGAGGGAGGCTCCACAGAGGTGCAGCGCAGTGTGGCTGGAGCGGTCCCTCTGTGTGAGGGAAATGGGAAGGAAATGGCAGTGTGTGGCTGAAGAGGAGGCTGTGGACAGCAGGGGAAGCAGCCAGGAAACATACTGAAGCTTGGCAAGGTCTGTGGTTATCTAGACAGAAATACACATAGAGATATGGGGTTGACTGATACTGTCCAGCCTGTACAGAAAAACTGCGGGCCGTTTCGGTTGCTTTCAGGATATTTTGTATTTCCAGTACTTCACCTGTGTGGAGTAACAGGAATGTGACACCCGTGCAGGGAAGTGAAATGCACTAAATCGTATTCTCAGCTGTATATATTTGATCACAAGTACGTCTGTCAGGTACAGCATGCACATGGTGTGACACACCAGTTTTATGGGCTCTGTGTTATCTTATACGATCTTACAACTCTTAGGAACTGAGACCAAGTTACAGTATGGGCAGTATCTGCTGCATTTCAGACACGTCTGGGGGATGTGTACTGAGCACTCTCTGTTTTCCCAGGCTGTAGTTAATGTCCTCGTTTTCCTGAGGCTGTGGGAGCAGTGTTGTCCCCCTTTCCTTTTCCCAACTTCACTCTGCATGGCTGGTTCTGTGTGTCTGTGTGTGCCTGTTGTCTTTGGCTCAGTTACACGGGGTATCTGCACAGTCAGACAGGAACGTTAATGCTGGGGTTTACGTATTAGTGCTGTACTTAGGTCTTTCTGAATGAGTAGGGGTTTGGGTTTGTATTGAATTCTTGCAGGCTAGTATTTCTGTTGGGACAGATGCAGTATGTGCGTGACAGCACATGTTCTGGGCAGAGATAGCCCAGACACATGTTAGCGTTTGCAGGCTCGTGGTCTCCCCAGTGAAGCTCCCACTGTCACATCCCTGCACCAAGCACCCCAGGCTGTGCCGACCCCCTGCATTTCCAGGGCTGGGGAATTCCATCCCTCTCCTCATGCATCTTCACAAGGAGCCCGCTGGGAACATGGCATATCCCTGGGGCTGGCTTCATGTCCCTTGCATTGGCTCTACGCCTCTATAGGTTGGCTTTGTCTCTCTGTAGGTTGGCTCCACCTCTCTCACATTGGCTCTGTGTCTGTATAGGCTGGCTCCACATCTCTGGGGCTGGCACCATGTCTCTGGAGTTGGCTCCACGTCTCTATAGGTTGGCTGTATGTGTCTGTGGGTTGGCTCCATGTCTCTTGGCTGGCTCTGTGTTCACTGCACCACCAGCTGTGCAAGTTGTTCAGCCCTGGTTGTGCTGTAGGTGGGTTGTGTGCTCTGGTTATGAGAAGGTAACAGTCTATCTCCAGTTCTTCAGTAGGCTAATAGATCATTGCAGACACTGATATAGACATCTGAAATATAATTAAATGGCCAGAATGCTCTATTTGTCTAAACAAGACAAAGCATGGAACGGGTTCATTTGACTTGAAACACGCAATTAGCATAACCCTTCTGGATGCTTGTTTTATCATGTGCAATATAGTAAAAGATTGATTATCGTACTGTACCTTCTGAATTTCATTAATAGAATTGTTTTGTCTGCTTGATTAATATGTTGCCTCAACCTCAGAATAATCAGATTAAACTAGGTTGCCTTGTTCCTTTTGCCTTGGAACATTCTTATCTCCATACACTAACTTTTCACTAGGCCCCATGTAAATTGGCCTCCAGTGCATTTTGTCACCTCCACCGCATTTCGGCGTGTCCACTCTTGTGCCTCTGCT